GAGAGAGAGAGAGATATAAATAAAGACAGAAACAGAAGCCGCCTCTGTACATACCCCCCGCTCTACAGCCGTAGATGTCCTGTACTCCTACATACTGGTATCATTCTCTACTCGTCGGGTACACAGAGTATCACTCGCAATGCTTCTGTCTATCCAAATAAACCAATTGCTGAAACGCTTCACGGAGCGAAGGGGGGAAGAGGCGGCCCCCTGACAACCGGCCTCTGCTCTCGCTACATCTCCCAAAGGCCATGAAATACTTTGAGAGTATCAAGCTCTCCAGCAAAGATTTATTTGGCATGATTGATACCGTTATCACAACTTCTGCCTGCTTTGCTCAGCTCCACCCAAGCAAGACCTCTCCATCCACGAATCAACCAATCCAACCTCTGCCCCACCGGCTCAATACCACCAGCAAACCATTGTCGCGAACGACCCGACCCAACAAAACCCACGATAGCGTGATCAATCGATCGATCGATCAACCGATCGACCAACTAACCAGAAAAATAGACGTAAAGGAAAAGACTTAGATATTTTTTTTTCAAGCGCATGCGGTAGAAACCGTCGTAATAAGATACCGAATGTCGCAGGCTAGAAGAAGGGGGAAAGAGCAAAGCAAAAGTGGTAGTAACAACACACGTAATCGCCAAACAAGCACCGACAACGACGAGCCCAGTTAGAGAATAAAAGTGAAAAAGAGGAAAAAAACTTGGAGAGAAAAGAGGAGAAAAGGGGGAGGATGCGAGAGTAAGAGCGTTATCAGAACTGAAATATGGTTACATGGCACTAAAGACGTGATAGCGCAAATAGATGAGACCTCATCAGCAGTGGGAAATTTAAGAAAAAACAAACAGCAATGGAATTAATCAAGCAAATGCGCATGACACAAGTGTAGAAGGGAAAAACAAGACTAATTGGGAAGAGAAAGAGAAAACTGATCGTTGTGAAGGATGGTGGAGAGTAGGGTAGTGTTGTGGTTTGATTACTGCACAGCATCTAGGGAGTAGTAGTAGTTGATGTAAAGCTAACGAAGCTGGCGGTGTAATGACTCATTGGGGAACCTTGGGTTGCCAGGACCGTGGGAGTGCTGAGGGTGCTTGGGACCATCGTGGGGAAATCCAAATGGAGGTCCATGCATACCCATGAGGGGTCCATGTGGTTCAGCATGGGGGTGATGTAACGGAATATGGTAGCCCTGTGGCGGGGGTCCATTCATTTGTGGAGGCGGAGGCGGAGGTGGAGGTGGATGGCCATTCATCCCGTTCATCCCAAAGAACGGGGGGGTATGAGGTCCAAAGTTTGGAGGCAGGTTGGGGGGAGGACCTAACGCAAATGGCATTGACTGAGGCCCATTAACACCAGGGAGTGGGCCAAGGAAGGCGGGTGGGGGTGGAGGACCTTGGTGGTGATGCTGCTGCTGTTGGGGTCTTGCGAATCCAGGCGGTGGCGCTACCTGGCGGTGATTTTGGGGAGGGGGAGGTTGCTGTGGTTGTGGTTGTGGCTGCTGCTGCTGTGATAGTTGCTGTTGCTGCTGCTGATGGTTCCAGCTGCCGGGAGGGCCATGCTGTTCCATAAGAGGAGGGCCCCTGGGAAGAATAGGGCTTGTGGACTCCTGGCTGGAACGCTGCCTAAAAGCAGTAATGGCAGGATCATCAAATGCTGGTGAAAGTGGATTGTTCTTTGCTCTCTGAAAGCTATGAGGGCTGGTTGATATTGGAGGTGGCGGGGGCATCTGAGATGGGCCTCCATATGGAGCGTGCAATGGGGGTGGGGGAGGGGGACCTTGAGATTGGTTTTGCTGCATGAGACGCATAAAAAAGTCTGCGTTAGGGTCTCGGTGATGAGGAGGAGAAGTGATGGGTGTCTGCTGGGAGTGCGATGGGGGTGGGTGCGGGGGCATCATGGAGGCCAATGGAGAGACACTTGGTTGCGGTGGACGAGATATCCCAGGAGATGGAACAGAAACTGGCTCTGAACTTCCAAGGCTGTTGCTGGTCAGGAGGTCCAGTATACGCTGGAAACCTTCCTTGTCCTCGGAGGAAGACTCATTTACCGGAGTGGGAATTTTGGCAGCAATAGGAGGCTCTGGAATATTTGGTGAGACGGGTTCTTGAGGGGTAAAGAAAGAAGTGAAGCGGGACTTGACGGCAGTTTTGGTCTCCGGGCGCATATTTCCTAAGATGTCCTGCTCGGGGCTCTTGCTAGAACTCGGAGCACCCCAGAGACCAAAGAACCTGTCAACCCCGTTCTCTACGACTGCCGGAGCTGTTGCCGGCTCTGCACCGTGTTAGCATATCTGCACTCTCCATACTCAGTGCATGGGCTAACCTTCTATGGCGGAATGGGAATTTCCAGTTTCCTTCGTACTCTGATGACTACCTTTAGGCTCCTTGGGAAATTTGTCTTGCCCAACAAGTTCCGCTGGTGCTTCAGCCCTGATCTTCTTTTCTTCCGGTGCATTGCTTGCCTTCATCTTCTCCTTCCAACGTTGAAATTCCTCCATTGAATGCACAGCCTTACTGTCACCGGTTTTATCTTCATTGCCTGGACCCGAATCCATCCATTCGGGGTCCTTCTCATTTCTGTTGTTGCTGCTGTTATAGCGGTGGTGATCGCGGTCACGGTAGTGGTCACGGTCTCCTCTGTCGGTACCACGATCTTCGAGTAACCAGCTTGCCTCATCTCTTCTCCCCCTTGGACGATGCTCACGTTCTCTACCAAAATTGTCATATTTGGGTGGACGGTCCTTATCCCAGGGAGTTTCCCTCTTTCCCCTATCACCAGTACCGCGGAAACGGTCACCATCCTCCGCCCCGAAGCTCTTGCGAGGCTGACGAGACGCACCGGTCCAACCTTCAGTATCGTCTCTACCGAAGCCTCGTTTAGTATGGTCACCGCGCAAGCTATTCCGTTCGGGGCGATCTTTGTCCATCTCCTTGCCAAGTCTGGTATTCCCACCCATTCTAAACCGCTCGAAACGAGGGCTTTCACGCTCTTCATCGATAGCTGGCGAGCCTAGAGAAGTGGCCTGGGAATCATGGTCAAACTTTCCGCAAGGTGTTCGAGTGGACGAGGATGCAAACATCATCTTGGGCGGGCCAAGTATAATGTCATCGGCAACTGTGAACGGGTCAATAGTTCAGTTTTAAACTTGAGATGGGATGACGGATAGGACACATACGTGAGGGGCGGGAGAGATGACGAGTTTCGAATAGAGATGGCCGGCGGGTCGACGTCATACCGCTTGGGAAGGTTAGGCTTAGGCGGGCAACGTGTTTTAGGGGACACTTACATTTTGGCTCCGTCTTCATGGTTGGCCAAGAGGCTGTCTCCATCCGCACGCGACCGTGTAGTCTGTGGCCTAACGGTAGGGGGGGTTCTTATAGGGCTGGTCAGCCCAGATATCTCGGGGTTCACTGCAGAAGCTCTGCCGCAGCAAGTAGCAAACACAGGGAAACATAAGGGAAAGCTCACCCCATCCATTCTTCAATTGGCGGAAGGCTAGCAGGTTTCTGAACTAAGGGCGAATCCCGGAGGGACAATAGCTCTTCGATCTCGTACCGGCGGAGGACTGGAGACTCCATGACCGATGACCAGCGGCGTTGCGGTTCGTGATGTGTGTGCGAGGTGAAATGACAGGCGATGAGAGTGAAGCGATGCTGTGACAAGGTTTAAAGCAGCGTAAGGTTTGTACTTATGTCCGGGAAGGTAGAGGACCAGGTCCAGATTTTGGCAGGCGGGATCAGGTAAGTTGGGGGTGATTGGGGGGGGCTCTGTTGGGGGCTCTTCGTTTTTTTTTCGGTGGGGGTTGAGGTGTTGTCCTGCAACACTCAGGGAAACCGGGCATTGTTTATCTGATCCCCCAGTGCTGTACTGTAGTGTATTATCAGATCATCGCTGCGCCTCAGCAACGCCACTGGCCAAATCCAAAAGCGGACTAAAGGTTCAGCTAATCTTGCCCTCCTCAGATGATTCCGAGAAAAAAACGTCCCGCCCAGACCTCCAAATGCATGCAGCCAATGGATACACGTTAAGATATTTGCTGTATGCATCACATTTATTCCGACCAACAGGAGTGAGGGGAAATTGACATCTCCCTCGAACACCTGGAACCGCTCCCGAGTCGGGTTGAGAATATGGCCAATACCGGTATTCCCCCCAAGCCCAAGCGAACGAACATTGGGTCTAAGCCTTGGGCGTTCAGGGACAGCCCTGGAACACTGCTTCATCCGGGGGAGTGGTGATTCCACACGTTTTGAAGGCTTTTACCCTTCATGGATACCACCCCCCACGCAGTGAGCGAAGAGAGGGAAGAAAAAATGGATAAGAAAAAGAAAACAATAACACCATCCTATCCCACTGCGCTTGTATCATAGTGGTACGGTACGTGTGGTACGTGTGGTAAGTATCATAAATTAATCACCCTATTTGGCCTATTGGGGCTCTTCCTTGAGCAGCATTCGGAGGTTAAGGTTTTAGGGATCACGCAATGTCACTCAGAGAGTGGTTCTGGCTTGGCTGAGATACGAGTGGATATCATCATCAGATTCTGTGGAAAATTATCTGAACAGTCCTGTGTGATGCTGTGAATCCTACTGAATATCATCTCCACCAAACATGGGCAGCGCACGGGTTAGGATGCGTAATGCAAAGCAAGTCGCTCTACAACTCCTGATAATGCCACAACTATTTCCCGAAATCAAACGTGGTAATAATAATAAAACGGGTGCAGTGAAAGGCGCAGGGGAAGGCGCATAGCAAGGAAAAACACAAGGAAAAGGTGTTGGAACACGAGGCAAAGAATAGATTACCATGACTTTGCGGCAATAGGAAAAAGATAGTCAACACAAACTCCATACGCAAGAAATAAAAGGAATGCAAAGGAATAAAGGGAAAGCGTAGCAGCAGACAGCGCATATATGCACACAACGAGACAACTGTTTAAGCCGGCCATCATTAGGAAACATTTTCCAGTGTTGGTTTATAAATTTTGACATCTCCCCACCCACGGTTGCCCACCATCCGGCCCGTCGAACGAGAATTACGGCAACCATATCGACCCCAATTCCTCCCATATCTCCCCCATTTCCGCTGAATCCTCACAAGATAACGCATCGGCATCTCGGGGAGCGCTGATCGTCTCTTTGCCTTGACCCGAACCCAACCTTGGCACTACGCTGGGTCATTTCGTCGTCTCCGGTTTCTGCTGGACGGATGGTCATATGAACGACGTTTGGCAAATCCTGGTTGAGCTTGCAGTCTATTATTTTGGTCGTGAGAAACTCCACCTTCCAAACAGACACTCGAGCAACTCGGGTACAATGGGGGTAATTAACATAGGGGAAGTAATTGGTACCTTTCAAATGCTGCTTGTCATCAAGCATTCGTCCAAAATGGATGAGCCTTATAAACAGAGCACTTGCTGGTCTCTGATCCCATTCTGCGTGCGGGGTCAAAGTGGGTTAGTGGCTTGCTCTAGCACTATTGGTGAAAGACGGGGACTGAATCCAAGAGGGGAAAAGAAAACCTACCGTCCTGCCAATCCTTCCAAATACACTCCTTCAACTGCCATACACTCATCTCGAACGGGTCTTTTAATGAGTCCTTCCCCGTTCCACCAATAACTGAATGCGACTCTAGGTAGGGCTCGTTTATAAGGAATTGATGGCGCACACCAGATATGAGGAGCAATGTGATCGAAAGGGATGGTTTTGAAGGGGTTATAGGTAGAGAAGACGAAGGCGGCTTCATTTCTGGGGGTGGAGGTGGAGGTGTGGAATCCTCCGTAGTGGACCCGGGCGAGATAGTGATAACATTGCTGACGGTGGGGGGCGTGGGCTCGAGGGCAACTGTGGGGGGCATGGGAGGCGAAGGAGACCGTACGTTGGGCTCTTGAATAGATTGAGATGGATTCGAGATGATAGGGGTAGTGAAGGGTGACTGGTCTGGGGCTAGATGCTCCTGCGAGGTATGGTTGATTTCAGTTGTGCCCAGGGATAACGATGTCGGTGTCTCGTTGTGGGTTCGGGCATCAGGAATCTCGGGGGCTGGCTCACCCTGAGCTGGTTGAATAGGCGTTTTTGTTGACATTTGTGGATTGTCCGTCGTATGTTGCGAGAATACGATTCAGGGAGGAAGGTACAGCAAGTACCTCGAGGTACCGGTTGCGAAAGGTGGTTTGTTTGTCGTTGTTACAACAACACACAAGACACAGGTTCCAGTCCAATCGCCCGGGGATTTTCGCTTCGACTCTGAAATCCACCGCACAATGAAAATAGCTTAAAGGATAAGCAAAGAAATCGCGATCTTGACTTTTTTCCGAGTTGCCAGGTGGTATATGGGGGGAAAATGACAGGAGTATGCGGGAGGCGAAAACGAGAGTAAGTCAACGAAAGGGCCTACCCCGTCCTTGGTCTACGGGTAGAGTAGGTAGAGTATTTAGCCAAGATGGTGGCTATGGAAAAGGAGGGATTCGGCTGATCGGTAACGGGAGTCGGGCGGGACGATGGCGACAGCGGCGACGGCAGAAGGTTTCGCAAGAGTTGAGAATGCGATGCGAAGAGAATGTGAATTTGGAGATTAATCGCAGTCTGGAGCTGTTGACGGGGCGGGCTGGGGGTCGGTGGGAACGAAGAGAGAATGAATGCACGGATAAAAGTCGTGTGGTTCTGGGCAATTTCGAGAAACTGGGGAAAAAAATCTCAGGAGGTGGGTTTTTCTGGATAGGGAGGGGCAAGCTGCTCTTTTGGGGCTTGTGTCGCCGTGGTTGACGCTTGCGACAAAATTTCAAAGTTATCCTGTGGGCTGTGGGGGAGCAGCACACGGCGGGTCAAGAAACCCGGCTTGTCTGCATCAAATCGACGGTTTGGCCGATAAAGTGTGTGTGGAGTGGGAAAAAAGCTTGGGGGAAGGAAGGGAAGAAGCAGGGCCGAATCGAGAAAAGTCGGAGCCTGCAGAACTGCGGCGATCCTTCCGCTCCTCGAAGTAATGCTTTTTTGGGTACAGCCTGGGCCAGCTGAGAAGAATTGTTGTAGAAGCTCGACCTCTTGCTGTGCTGTGTGCCGCTTGTCTTCAATGGGTTTGAGCTGCTCAACTGAATTACAGCCACCACCACCACCACCACCACACATCTACGCACAATATGGTGTTGACCTCAGTCTTTGATGGTTCAACTCTCGAAACTCTGGACGGACACGGAACTGGTGGCGGACATGGCTTGGGTCGATGGCTGCTTATAGGGAGCAATTAAAGTTACCGTACTCTTCCTAGGGCATGCGTCACTATAATTCTTATCGCACGCTTCCGAGAGAATGGGGAGATTATAATGAGACTGGTATCGTTCCATTCGATTTTGGGTGTGGGTGACAAAGCTTAACCTGTCTTCTGCCACACACACAAAGGTCATAGGCTGTTTTTCAGGAGGCCTAATATACGGTACTGTGCTCGGGTGCGGTACGAGTACTGATATCCCTCGTCGCATGCGGTGCGTGGAGAGTTCCTTAGAGTGAGGCCTCACTTTGCTTGGGTGCTACATTGATACTCTGGACAGTACCAGCACTTGAGTACTGTACTCGCAGAGTACCGTACGGTGCTTGAATACTGCCGCCGCACGATTGGGTCTGGAGTAGCGTGTGGATCGAGTGAGAGGGACGACACAGATTGACTTAAGAAAAAGAAACCATTCCGGTGGTAGGGCACGTGGATAATGTTCCTCACAATGCATGACTGGGAACAATGACCTCACAGATTCCTTTCTCAAGGAATGAATTTCCCTCTATTTGCAATCTCGGGGAGTTGATCTGCGACGGCGAGGCATACTGGTGGCCCCAAGAGTCCGCAGAACCACTTCCGTTCCATAACCCAGAGATTCACCAGTCTACTCATCTATTGCGCCTGCGTGGATTACTACTTTGCAGTTTGGTAGTGTCCCGTGGTGGATTATTCCAAATAATCACCGTTAGGCGAGGAATCCAACCATGAGTGGACCCCGGCTACGGAAGCCATAAGTATATCACAGTCGCGATGGCTCGGCCACCATCGGAAGGCTTGATTATGAAAGAACTAATACTCGAGTACTTGAGTATAGTCAAATTCTACACTACTTAAAGCATCTGCTAGCCACATGGACAACGCGTAAGCCTTGCCTGGCCCTTTTTCGCGCTGGTGTATGCAACACCGTCCATCTTTGATGTCAGCCTCATCGCGCATCTAAATATCCAAGCCAACGATCAGCATTGATATAATAAGAGTAAGACCCTAGACGGCCGGTTAAGCCCTGAAGCTTCCCCGGTACTCGAGTACTCACTCCTCTCTAGAGTACTAGTTTCTCTTTTGAACGGCTAACAGCCCAAGGTGGAAAGCTAGTAGCGGACTGAATCTAGGAACCGGAAGGGCTTGGTGGGTATGCCACTATCCCACGTATGATACTCGAGTACGTCAGGCTCAGCTTTTCTAGTATTTTCCAACTCCTTGTTAGGGAACCGGAGAATTTCCCCGCTGAGAATTTCCTAGACCAAGGCCCTAGGAAACAAGCGGATTTTGGCTGGGGCTAGCGTTGTATGTTTACTAGAGCGGAGACAAACAAGATCTTCAGGAGATTGATCTGGGAGAACTTGGTACTGGGGACCGGTGTGGATACGGGTGATTACACGTGATGAACCAGATCCCTCGAGTGTATCCACAACCAATATTTTGGGATAAGTTACTGGATGACAAGGTTTTAGCGCAGTCCGAAAGTTAACAGGTCAGCACTGCCTAGGTGAACTGATTCGGGGGGCCATGTGTAACGGGAGGTCTTACTTACCTAGGCGCGGAATGTGGATTGAGGGACTAGCTAAAGTTCCTATTTGGCAGTATATAAAAGCTACAGGCATATCATACGGCTGATAATTTGATATTTGCTTGGCTAGCGGATCTCGTTTTGCCCTGCTCTGTGTGGCTACGGGTGTTGACGGGGCAGTTTGGTTCGAAAACTCGAATTGCCCTAAAGGATAGATGTGGCCATATGGGACGGTTCATTCTATATACAAACCAGCGTTGGCATTGACGGCCTTAGGCAGCGGACTCCCAGAATAACATTTAGCACTTCTCAAATCTCTCGAGAATCGTAGTCAGCCTTTTCACACCGACCTTCCCTTCCAATCTCCATCCATTGTGCCCATTATCTATTCCTTGGTCCCTAGTGTCTTAATCATTGGATTTCTTGTGATTTCGCACACATTCTAGTACCTTCTAGATATCTAAACTTCACCAGTGACCAGTCGGGTGAATCCTTTTTTTCTCTCCCCCGAGTGACGGTTAATGATGAGTTCTTTACAGCAGATGATTAAGTAGAATGCAAGGGTGCTCGGCGGGCTCGGCATCATGTGTGAGGGAGATATGCAACAATCCTGACAGATTCAATTTTTAAGCATGCAGCCGTTATGTCATACAGTGATAACCACAAGGGTAGCTACTTTCATGCAGCCTGGTTTACCCCGACCTTTGAACTCAACACCTCGGAGCCATTGCGGCTGGGTTCCTTCTTGAAGCGCTGAATCCCCTTGGCTGATTTTGGAATCGGTATTTTTGTGGAATTGGTCGTTGGGTGTCCTGGACGGGGTTGGAGTATATTATGTTAACTTTGTCGGGATACAGCGATGTAGAGCCCCCCGGGGCATGATATGGGGCAATGGCGCTCTACTCGTGCATCATCATTGTTTTTGTTAGAGAGGTTTAGGTATATTTCCGACTAGCATTTTGCTCGCTGGTGTGATGCTGTATGTCGGAAATCAACAGGAGGAGTGTCATCTTGCGCTTCACTTCAATTCTCGGACGGCCGCGGGTCCCACATCAAAGCCTTGGAAGTTGGCAACGGCAATTTCGCATTTGACGTAGCTATTACTAACCTTCGGGCACTTTAAAATTTCACCATTCCTTCCTCCTGGGGTTGGCGTAGCTCTTCTTCTCTTTTTTTTCCCCTACCCACTACCCTGATTAGCAGGGGCTAAAGGCTTTCGGAAGAGTGGGTTGGTGGGCTCTCCACCGGGTGGGCGATTATGGTCAATCAACTACCTGACAGGACGATATATCACAATGGCTGGTATGTGGTCACCGTCGAGCAGGTCTTGAGCAGGTTGGTTTTTTTTATTTGGTGGGAGGAATGTTACTGAGGATCTGAGAGACAAGACTTGGGAGTTGGGATTGTTATCATATATTCTGGAGGTTGATGTCGAGCTTTAGCTTTCGTAGGGTGAGGGTAGCTGTTCAAACGCGTGTCGATCTAGAAGCTGGTACAGTTGCAGCGGAGACTGAGTTTGAGTTGATTACTGACTCATTGCTATTGGTTTTCTTCAGTTTTCCTTACGCTACTAGGGGGAGCAAAAATTTGATGCCGCGTTTTCTGGAGTCTGGAACGCAGTCGGAAGTCATACTGCAGAACCGGGTTCTGAAAACGACTGTGCACAGATAGAGTGCACGCTAGATGTTACGGCATACATTGCCACTGCTCAGTGGATAAAGCATGCAAGGCTGCTGTATATGGTCCCTTACATCCCACCACTACACACTCTGCCCACCGTGCGGGGAAGGAATGCCCATCCTTAGCAGTAGCTTTACTTGCGCGTCCACAATGCCGTGCGGTATCTGCGCCTTGGATCCAAAGGCCATGACCAACCCGGTGGGCAAAATACTGGGAAGGGGGAGAATTCGTAGACCTAACGAGTGCTGCTGACACCTAAGCTCAAGAGGCCTAGCCATGGACAATCCTCTTCCATTACCTTCTCGCAGTAAACTAGGCAGGCGACGACCCACCAGAGGAATCCAGCCTTGCGAAAAACAGCAGGTATGGCGAATCCCGTTTGGAGATATGCTTCTGTCACTCTGCGCACTGGTGTGATAATGGAACAGGTGGGGCTTCCTAGCCCGGCGCATATTTATTTACTCCCGTTTCCTAAAATCCCCCACCCGACGCACGCGTGGAGGGGTGGGGGGCAGTCTTGTGTTAATTTATTCCCGGGCATGCTGGGGGAAGATGTCCGACATATGGGGTGGATCTTCCGTTGGTATTTTGATTCATTATTGGTGTGGTAGCAACTGCATCCCTTATACTT